GCCAACTACAAGTTATATATTTTATAGAAATCCCGCAAAAATGCTAACTACAAGTGGGTTATTTTTTATCAATTGATAATTTTTTTCTGCAGGGTTATTTCTCGCAAGGCATTTTTGTATTCAAGTAACAAAGCAGAACAGCTGTCATACGGTCCGTTGCTCTCATTTGTCTCTAGTTTTGTGCTCATTGGTCAAACCTGTTTTGTGTACGGTGAAATAACCAGAGCCGCCTGTTGCATTTTAAAGCACTTTTTCCACTACTATAGGAGTAGGTATGATGGTAGGTAGGTTGTCTGGTATGTATGTAAAAAAAAGTACAAAAGTAAAATTTTAAGGACCTTTAATTAGGGTTATCCGGAACAGAAGGCGTTACTTATCACTTCGCATAATATTATCTGTTCTATTTCTTATGAACCCACTAAAATTAGTATGGTTTAAGAGTTTCATAGGAAAATCTCACCTAAATACAACAATGACCACTTAGAAAACAAAAAATCAATTGTTCGTACGCTGTACGGAACAGCTATCCTTTGATGGGCAACCGCAAAAATGTTTACGAGTGTGTAAATAATATACATTTGGTGGACAAGGACAAACTCTGAAACGCACTGAAAAAGAGTGTGCAAAAAATCACTACCTGCTACTGTTTTCGCAACTTAATATCGATCATTAAGGAAAAGTACAAAGCATGTTTCTTATGAATAAGGTTACATAGTTTAACCAACAATAATTTTGCTTTATGTATGCGTTTATGAACTTTTACTCACAACGCCATTTTCACACTTCTTTTGTTTATGAAATACAAATTTATACCTAAATATACATATAAATTTTCGCTCAAAATTATCTTAAAAGTACCAAATATTACAAAAAATTTCAACACAACCCCTTTTTGGTGAGTAATTCAGTGTCAAAGTGGTGCTCATTTCTGTGCGCTCTTGCCATTAAAATTGAAGCAATCATACTAGAGTAGCCACAATTTTTAAATTCGGCAATAATAGGTCTCCTTTGCCACCCAGTTCAGCTACGCATTTTTCATATAATTTGTAAAAATAAAGATTTACAAATTTTTAAATTAAACTCTCTTTTAAAAAGATATAAAGATAAAAGATATAAGATATAAAGATATATATAAAAAGATAAACGTAATTTAATTTACCGGTTAATAAATCACCCAAATAATGCAAAATCTCTTTTACAAAAAAGTTGAATTCAAAGCTAAATTAATGTTTCAAGTATTTATACATATAAACCTGTGTATGAATATTTTACATAAATGTAGATTTCCGTTCAAAATATGCTCGTATGTATTTTCATTATGAATAAAATGACATACATATGTATGTTAAAATATTAACTTACTATTATGCAATATTTATGCAAATTTGGGGTTTGTCACAAAAAAGAGGAAAAACCTTATCTGTTGCTCGTAAAATGTAAGCTCGGTCGCCGCCAAAAAAATTATCTACATAAAAATAAAAAAAAAATTTCTGAGTTTGGTAATTTTTTGGAGTTTTCGTAAAAAATTTAAAAATGTTGTGGCAACCCTGAGGATGAAACTGAATTAGGCACACTAAAAGCGCAGTTAGTCAACGACGTAGCGTAAACGTAGGTTGACGTACGTAGCAGCATATCAAATTTACTGTTGATAGAGAGAGAGAGAAGCAACGGCAACGTCACCGCCATGCGGTGGTGA